TGTTAATTAGTGTAGAGGTGCTGGTTGGTGGATTTTGCTACCTTTGGAAAGGGCCCGGCTAGCTGTTTCCCCACTCTTTCCAGTCTTTATGTTAAGCTAAGCTAACCAGCGGCATCTTCATATTTATCCTACAGACGTGAGCGTGGTGTTTATCTTCTCATCTAACTCCCAAAATGTTGAACAACTTCATTAAAACTTGCCCATCACTTTTATAATGTTGGTCGGTGTTTGATACGTGCCTCTGTTTTCGACCCCCTCCCTCTGTCAGACTTAAAGCAAGAGGTCAAAGAACTGAAAATGTGCTGCAATGATGCCAACACCCACTGTGAAGGTGAGATCCTCAATGTGACCTTATTGTAACGCTCGACGCACACGTCTGTCCATGAGAGCCAGTGACGCAGTGTTTGCACTGAATATTTCATCAAACAGAATTAAAAAGACAACTGCAACAGAGCCAGGAGGATGCAGATCGCCTGCAGCGGCAGCTGAGGGAGAGGGACGCTGCCTTCAAACAGCTGCAGCAGGATTTTAAAGACCAGACCGAGGAGAATCAAAAACTGCAGTCTGAAAACAGCAGTAAGTTCACGTCTCTGCTCGTACTTACAATGAGTAGATTCATCAGGATGTAACAGAGGAAAGGTAATGGTTGACTTAAAGCAGGCAGTTTAATAGTGGGACACTGTATCCTTGAGGTCCAGTGTGCCATTTGATGTGTTTTCTCAGTTATACATCTCATCAAACAGACAAGGAGAGGCAGGTGAAAGACGCTGTGGAGAACGCTGCTAACCTACAGCAGCAGCTGCAGGAGAAGGACGCCTTGATCAACCAGCTGCAGCAGGAGGTAGACCAACGGACCGCGGACTATCACAAAGTGCAGGACGACTACGACAGTATGTTCAACCCCTTTGGAAATGCTCATACACACAATCAGTCCATTCATACAGTGTGATGGAGGAAAGATACCAGCTGCTCCACTGATTATTGATGAAATGCTGTTTTCTGTTTCAATGCTAGACCTGCAAAATGAGAAGAACGATCTTGAGAGCAGAGTGCAAGGTAACTCTTAGTTCTGTTTGGTGACACCACACACACACACACACAC